GGTTCGGATCCCACATACAGACCGGTTCCCGCTCACTGGCTGAGCGAGGTGCGGGAGCAACACCGAGGGTTGCGATCCCGTTGCCAGTCAGTAAAAAAGACAAAAAAGGAAAAAAAAATGAAGTCAGCGGGCCGGCCCGGTGGCGCGCTGCTACGGGGCGCCACTTGGGAGCGCGGCGGCGCTCCCGCCGAGGGTTCGGATCCCACATACAGACCGGTTCCCGCTCACTGGCTGAGCGAGGTGCGGGAGCAACACCGAGGGTTGCGATCCCGTTGCCAGTCAGTAAAAAAGACAAAAAAGGAAAAAAAAATGAAGTCAGCGGGCCGGCCCGGTGGCGCGCTGCTACGGGGCGCCACTTGGGAGCGCGGCGGCGCTCCCGCCGAGGGTTCGGATCCCACATACAGACCGGTTCCCGCTCACTGGCTGAGCGAGGTGCGGGAGCAACACCGAGGGTTGCGATCCCGTTGCCAGTCAGTAAAAAAGACAAAAAAGGAAAAAAAAATGAAGTCAGACTAGTTACCAGAAAATAATCACATACCATACTGTCTGACCATAAGGACTGGTCTTGTACTTGAGCTTCGTGATGGACATTTCCCCTAAATTGAATGAGCTCAATCTGCAGTTGCAAAGTTTTGATGAAATTATATTGAAAACAGCACGAGCATTTAATTTTTTAAAAATCCTTTTTATTGGGCCCAGGGCAGCCCACTCCACCCGTAAGCAGGTGAGGAGCACACCAAAAACACCACTTCCACGTGGGTGGCGCACCACAGCCACCACCACAGTCACAGCTGCTGAAAAAGCAACTTAACTCCACAGCAGTAGCCACAGCCACCATGCAGGCAGCCCGCCAGACACTTGACTGAATTAACACAGGGAGAGTCACCAGTGGAGACCAGAAAAAGAAGAGGACATCTCTCTCCTCAAAGCCCACTCCAGAGTAGGAATAGAAGCAACTGCTTTACCAGATGACCAGACATCAGTGTATAGATACTAGAGATACAAAAATCCAGGAAAATATGACACCACCAAAAAAAATACAGAAATTCTCAAATATCAGACCCTCTAGAGCAGGAAACCCTTGAAATGAGTAAAAAGGAATTCTGAGCAACAATTTAAGGAAACTCACTGAGATATGACAAGACTCAGTTAGACAACATAATGAAATGAGAAAAAATCCAGGATATGAAGGAGGAAATTTACAAAGAGATTAATACCTTAAAAAGTGTAGCAGGACTTATGGAACTGAAAGATTCACTCAACAAAGTGAAAAACACAACCAATAGCTTAAGCAGCTGGCTAGAACAAGCAGAGGAAAGAATTTCTGGGCCAGCCCGGTGGCACACTGGAGAGTGCGCCACTTGGGAGCGCGGCGGCGCTCCCGCCGAGGGTTCGGATCCCATGTGTAGACCGGTTCCCGCTCACTGGCTGAGCGCGGTGCGGACGCAACACTGAGGGTTGCGATCCCGTTGCCGGTCCCCGGTACGGGCGCGACACCGAGGGTTGTGATCCTGTTACCGGTCAGTAAAAAAGACAAAAAGGAAAAAAAAAAAAGAAGAAAGAATTTCTGGTCTTGAAGATAGTCTATGAGAAATAACCCAAGCAGACAAAAACAGGAAAACATTTTACAAAATGAGGAAAATCTAAGAGAGCTAGCGGACAACCTAAAGCACATAAACATTCGAATCCTGGCTATTCCAGAAGGGGAGGAGAAAGGAAATGGCATGGAAAACCTATTCAACAAAATAATTATGGAAAACTTCCCCAGGGACAGGGAAAGACACAGACCTGCAGATACAGGAGGCTCAAAGATCCTCTAACAGATTCAACCCAAAAAGATCCTCTTTCCAAGACACATTATTGTCAAGCTGGCAAAGCTCAAAGACAAAAAGAACAAGAGAAAAGCATCAAATCACCTATAATGGAGTGCCTATCAGACTAACAGCAGACTTCTCAACAGAAATGCTACAGGCCACAACAAAATAGAATGATACATTCAAAACACTAAAAGAAAAAAACCTCCAGCCAAGAATTTACCCAGCAAGGCTATCCTTAAGAAATGAGGGGAAAATAGTGTATTTTCCAGACAAACAAAAACTGAGGGAGTTCACCACCACATGACCAGCCCTGCAAGAAGTCCTCAAGGGAGTCCTGCATCTGGAATCTGAAAAATGATAATCGCTACCACGAATACACAAAGAAGAAAACCCACTGGTGGAACAAAAAATGAAAAAGAGAAATAAGTCTTTCCACCACAAAAAAACGACAGTGAAACAAAAGCAAACACACAATTGGTCTCTTTGGAAGATGATAAGGAAACAATTCAGTTTTCTAAAACTAGTAGGCAAAAGGGAAGAGTCAAGCATTTATCCTGTCTTTCCTGTATGAATTGTGCCTCAGGGTAACCATAAATGGCTGAGGAGGGAGCATTTCTGTCTATTGAAGCATCCCAGCTAGAAAATAAAGAGGGAATAAAACAATTAGAATATGGTATTTTGCAAACCCCTGTTGGAAGAATGGATCTAGCAAATGATCGGCAATGTCTGCTAATGTCACAGAGAGATGATCAGACACAATGGGCCTCCTGCAGTAAGAACATAGATCTCTGAAGCCAACTCTAACCTGAGTGAGACCAGGCCTCGGGATCCAACAACCAATCATCAGGAAATGCGGAGGACGGTAGAACATGTTAAGTGACACTACTGGGATGGAGCCAGCAAATCCAGACCTTGGGAAACTCTGTGAGGTAAAGGAGAAAAAAATAGGTGAAGGGGGAACCTATAGATTAAAAGAAGCTTAAGAGACAGCAGACACAGCAACCAGTGCAATAAGCAGAACTAGTTTGGATCCTGATGTAAACAAATCAATTGTAAGAAAGAAGGAGGGGGAGGGAATTCGAGAAATTTAAACATGTCTAATGTTTGATTATATTAAGGAATTATTATTGATTTTTAAAATGTGAGAAAAGAGAAAATGGAGGCAAAAAAGAAAATCTTTTTTGCTTGTCAGAAATATATGCTAACCATGTGTAATTCTGGCGATAAGTAATATTTAAACACAGATATATGAACTCACTGGGAAAAAATGTAACCAGTCAGTCCTACTCTTCTTGAGATGCATTTTCAATATAGTTTTGCTTTTAATATCGTAACTATCAAAGTTTCTAATATAGTTTCTTTTCATTTGCTTTGCATTACTATAATTGCTGTAGTAATTCAGTCCAGGTGAAAAATTTTAAATCCTAGAAATTTAAATAAATAAAATTTCAATTTAGATACATATTTTTATTGCAGGAAAATATGCTATGATGATAAGACTTCAGAGCATAAAAATGTATTCAGGTAAAATTCTTGAGGTCAGTGGAATAGCATACAAGGTCAAGGAAAGTAGGAACCATGTGAAATTTCTAACTGTTGAGGAAAAGTGAGTACATTTTGGGCCCTCAGGGCCTCTCTTGCTTCATCCCAGTAGTGCAATTAGAAAGGAGAAACTTGACCCAGAGAATAATTGGGGACAATCCACCATGAGGGTTGTTGCAGAGGACCTGCAGGTGAGTGGAAAGGAAGTTTTCAAAGGCACAGTGGAGCTGCTTCTGCAGTGAGAGGGCTGAACCTATGATCTCGGAGAAGCTCCTGTCTGGAATTTGCATTCCAGAGAGAAAACTTCTCAGGTGCCCAGGAAGAAAACAGGCCTGTGGTGGGAAAGGTGGTGTGCTGGGGCACCAAGGCAGTGAGTGCTGGGTGAGGAGACGCGCCTTGTCACATCTGCTGAGCTCGGAGGCCACAGTGACCAGCACGAGGGGCCAGGACACGGGGCACCGCAGGGGCACTGGGAGGTGGAAGCTGCAATGAGGTGGTGCAGCATCACAGCAGGGCTATTTGGAAGTCACACCTCCGTGACAAAACAGCCCGTCTTGGGGAGCAGGCACCTGTTCAAGTTTAAAATGGAAATGGAGTATGGAAAGCCCTAAGGGAAGAATCCAGTCTCTTCGGTTTTTTCCTCTTTTTTCTTTAAATTTAGAGCAATTGGAAATTTTTATGAAGAAATCTTATTCAGAAATTTAGCAAGCCCTTCTGTTTTGCTTGTTCCATTTTATTTTGTTGCATCCAATAAAATTAAACATAATACTTTTGTTATGGACGACTTGTCTGATAGTCATGGTGTGCTTGGTTTTGTCAAGCCACTCATGGGTGTCTGTCCAGCCCGGGATGTGTGGACATAGCAGCAACCATTCCTAGGATCCCTTGGCACTGTTCTAGGCTCTTACCACATATTTACATATTCAGTCTTCCCCAAAACTTCGTGAGTGAGGGCAGTTATTCCCGTTGTACAGGTGGAGAAAGAGCACTGAAGCCCACAGCCTGGGTTCCTTGCTGAGCACCACAGAGCAGAGTCGGTGAGCCAGGGTTTGAACGAGGCTGTTGGTCTGTACAGCCCCAGTCTAGGCCGTCTCCAGGGCTTCCTGATGCCCACAGGCTTATTACTGTTTTAAAAAGCATTTATTTAGAAAACCAATGAATTGATGACTTTTGAGAAGGAAGATGGACAGAAACAAGAGTTTGAAGGAGTTGGCAACTGTGCAGCCCGTTCCTCAGTTGCCCAGGGGTGGATATGACGACCTCCTCCTCTATCCCGGTCTTCCTTTTCTGTGGTTCTGTCACTCTGGTGCTTGGACGTGCTGGGGCATTTCCCATTTGCTGCGAGCTGTTGGAGTTGGAGGGACAAGGAAGAGTCCGTGCCCTCAAGGAGTGGGCATTGTTGATCTGATGGCAGTCTGGCAGAAAGATCTGCACGATGTGTTTTGTAAGTTTTCTAATGAGAATCTTGGTGGTTTTTGTTTGACTTCTTTCCTCACGGTTACTCCCGTTGAGTAGTTGTAAGTCTGCGAGCTGTGTGGGGTGACTGTTAACGGAAAGCAGTCTTCCTCACAGTGGGTCCCCAGGAGGGCCTGCCCATAGATGGTATTTTGGATGTGCTGGTTTTTACCTATTTCATTTTAGGAGCCTCGGGGTCTACTCAAGGAACAATAAAAAGTGGCACAATCAGTCCTCCTCACTTCCACACCAGCCAGAGCAGTAGGCTGTGCAGGAACCTCGTGGTGCCCAGTGGAGGCCTGCCAGGGCCAGCTGCAGCAGCAGGGGCACGGTGCGTGCACGTCCCCTTACTGCAGGTGAGGCTGGGCGGGTGAGGGGCTGCTTGTGGCTGCTGCACCCTCTCAGGTGCCCCATACCCCGTCTGCACTGCCCTGAGTCCCGTGTCACATCCTGAATGTCTCCCCACAGCCCCGGCTGCTGCTTCCCAGCCAGCTGTACTGTAGCTGTCAGGAGAGGCACATGGGCTTCGGCACACTGTGTGTCACCCTGTCTGGTCGCCTGCCTCTCTGGGGTGCAGACAGGCCGTGCTGGCCACCCCCACTCTGGGGACTGCTTGGGGTGCACCAGTGGGTGTAGCTTTTCTATGTTGACAGTGGTGGGCCTTTCTGTTTTTGTTTTTTTCCCGTTTTCTTTTCCACCAAACCAAGCTCCTCAAGGACAGGCCCAGGCCCGCGGCCAGCAGGACACCCCTGCATGCTCCCTCAGCAGCCCATGTGCGCTCCATCTCAGCTGGAAAAGGGGAGCAAGACAATTTGGAAGGATTTGGGGAGAAAAGAGGTTTGCGTGCGGGCTGTCTAGCTCTGACCTGGCCCTTTTCACGGGCCACATCTTCACTTTGCATCTGTCTGGGCTGCAGGTCGCCTCGTGGAGGGAACTGCGTTTCCCGACACCATGGGCTGCGCGTGCTGAGTTAATTCTGGTCACGGCACTGAGGAATAGAGCTGAGAGAAGGCGAGACCCATGGGGTCTGTAGTCCTGGGAGTGGCTCATGACGGAAGGAGGGCTGAGAACTGGCTGTGAAGGGTCCCAGAGAGGAGGTGCTGGCCTGGCAGAGGCAGGAGCTGGAGAGGCGGGCCAGGGGGAGAGGGGAGCTTGGGCATACCTGGTGGAGGCACCCAGAGGCTCCTGCAGAGAGGAGGAGGAGAGCAGGCCCCTTCCTTCCAGGTGTGGGACCAGGGATTGGAGCAGCTCGGAGCTTAGGAAAAGAGAGAACTCCCCAGAGATAGGGCAGAGAAGGAGAACCATTCCGAGAGAACAGCCCCAGCCAGCAGGTCAGAAAGGAGAAGGCAGAGTTGGAAGCTGTGAAACGGGAGGCTGCAGGACAGCTGCCACCATTGGCAGAAAAGAGCAAGTTGGAAGGGAGGAGGGTGTGTTTTCTTTAAGAGACGCCAATTAAAGATACAAGTTTTGAGGTCAGGGAGATCTAGGTTTGAATCCTTTATCTGTCCCTTACCAGCTAGTGTAGTCTTGGGCAAGTTACTGAAGCATGTGGGCCTCAGTTTTGCCATCTATAAAATGGGAGTCATGGTGTTTGGAGCTTTATGTACAGGAGGCTCTCGAGGCTGTGGAGGAAGGGGGGCAGTAGCCCCGGGAGTTCCATGTCGGGGTTGTGGATCTCATGGGATGGCTGTGCAGGTGAAAGACAGGTGCAGTGTTGACCAGTGTCCCTTTTCTTTTTTTAAAGTTTTTAAATTTTTTGGTGGTTGGCTGGTACAGGGATCGAACCTTGACCAGATGGTGAGGGGCCTGGTGGCCTCGTGGCAGGGGGGCACCCACAGGGAGTTCAGGAACACCTCATAAGAAATTGGCATTTGGGCTAAACGGAGGATTTTTGAGTGTGGGAGTAACTGGGGCCAGGGACAGGAGCCAGTTGGCAGAAGGTTCCTGGCCCAGCTTAGTCTGTTGGCCCTTGGGCTGGGCACAAGGTGAGAGAGTGAGGACCAGGCGGAGGGGCAAGTAGCCCCCAGCCCTGATACCAGTTAGTGCTGGGTCTTCGAGCCTCATCTGGGAGTGGGTGTTGCTTCAGCTGGAGGGTAGTGGGTGGGCTGGTCTTACGGAAGGTCACAGGGGAGGGGATTCTTCTGGCCAAGGTGAGGGACATGGCTCTGCGCTGCTCAGTAAACAGCGTGTGAAAGGTCTTTTTGGTTGTTGCCTCCCCAGGATGACCCCTCAGGTGAAGGAGTCTTGCCCTTAGCCCTCAACCTGCAGCCTTCCACCTTGCACCCCTTCTTCGCAGTGGATCTGCCCGTCTACGTGCTCCAGGTCTGGATGCCTCGACTTTTGTTTTTCCTGTTAAGAATGGCAGAGCCTCCTGGCTTCCTGAGGGCTGGCTTTGCAGCCACAGGTGGCCAGAATCTTTTGCTGCCTTTTGGGAAAGGTGGATAAATGTCACAGCTAAGGATAAAGCTCAGATTTGCTCGTCATTGTAATTCCTATGGGTAAACAAGGTGAAATTTAATACACTCTTGAAATATTTTATATTTAAAAATTTTAGTATTTTCTCCTATGGGAAGTGGCCGGCTTTTAATGTGGGGAAATAGACCCAGACAAATTCAGTCCTCTGCTTAAGTGTTTAAGCTCAGAATAGGTGGCAAGGGATACTTCCCACCAGGAGCATGAGTTGAAGATAAGAGTACAGGCTGGCCGCCTGGCTCATCTGGGAGAGCGAGGTGCTGGTAACGCCAGGGTCACCGGTTTGCATACTGTAGCAGCCAGCTGCAAATATGTTATTTAAATTAAGGAAAGGCAGTGGCTTCTTGCAGGCCTCGTCCAGTAGCCTGTCGCAAGAAGCTGCGCAGCTGCTGTCCCTGCCTGGGGTCACCCACTGGGCCCACCCTGCACTCCTCCCACACACCTCCCTCCTCCCTCGCCCCTCCCTCCTCCCTCGCCCCTCCCTCCTCCCTCACTCTCCCTCCTCCCTCGTTCCTCCCTCCCTCCTCCCCCGCTCCTCCCCCTCCTCCCCCTCACTCCTTCCTCCTCAGTCCTCACTCCTCTGCTTGGTTTTGCAGGAGGTACTTCCCGCAGCTGGAGGCACTGCTGGGCCTGAGGCTGCACAGTTCCCAGGAAGCAACGTCAACCTTCAGGACCTTCAGTGACAGCATCCCAGGCCACGAGAGGCCTGAGGGCTACGTTCCAGGCTGGCTTTCTTGGACTCAGAGGATGTGGTTTGTGGGCCTGAGGAGACTTCACTTGGTTTGTGCTCAGAAGTTTTGCCTAGTTCTTTAGAGACTTGGGCACATTTGTTGAAAATGTTTTCCTTTGTTTTAGTAGGAACGAGTTTGAGCTGTACTCTTTAGAGCTGCTTTTTGGTGAGCAAGGGTCACGCTCAGCAAGGCTCTTGTCCCGTGTGCTGTAAGATCTGAGCTGTGCATCACTTGTTGCATTAAAAAAAAAAAAAAAAAAAAAAGACTTGTGCAGGAAATAGGGTATAGTACTGGCTCCCTAGTCAAATATGACTTTATCTGTAGTAAAACCAAACGTGGTCTTTCATCGTCAGTGTTTTGTATTTTGCCTGAAAGAGATCTGGAAGTTCCATTCTCCTTTTGTGAGAGCTGGTGCAACAGGCTGTTCGCCAGCACCTTGATGGTGTTCGTGGGCACATTGGTTTTGCCACACCATAGGGCAGAGTCGTCCCATTGCCACAGCAAAGCCAGATTCTAATCTGTGCTCTGGCTTTGGAGGGAGATGATGGGGTGAATGGGGCTATCAGTGGCCTGTTAGCAAGTCTTCTTCCTAGACCAAATTTACAGCTCACGGTTTGGGGGTAGTAGAGTTAAAACTTTCAAAATCATTTCCCTAAATTCTGTATTTGGGTATTAATGCTGAATAGTAATTTGACAGCAGTTTATAAAGTGATGTTCTGGATACTATAAATTATGTGTAGGACTGTAATTACGTAAGTAATGTTTTTATGTGTATCTTTTTATTGTTGTGGTTTGAAGATGTGCACATAACACACCAACCTATACTTTTATGAGTGAGGTCTGTCTGGCAGAACTTGACAACCTTGCACATATTTATTTGTTACTTAACAGACTAGACTGGGCACAGGGTCACTCAGAAATCCTTTTTTTTTTTTTTTTTTTTTTTTTGCCTAGTCCCTTTTCTCAGATTTGCAATCACCCAAACTCTGCCCTTTCTGTGTTTCTTTCTTTGAATATTTGGACTTTCGGGAGTGTGTCCTTACTCTGTCCCACTCTGAGGTGCTGTCTGCCTGGGTATGGCTCCACCCAAAGGAATTCCAGCCCCACTTGTAAACGGTTCCTTCTCGCGGATGACTGTGCTGTGCCACAGACTGAAGGTCGGGGGTGGGATCTACCCACCTGGCAGGCTCCCAGCCCCCAGGTCATGGGGCCCTCCTCCTGCTAGGAGGCGCAGCTCTGCCTTCTCCACATGCCCTCAGTGAGTGGCCACCAACAATTGGGACTGGCTTTCGGTTTTCCAGGCACCGAGGCCCCCTGCTGGCCGTGGGGCCAGCTCCCAGTGCAAGTGAATAAAGGTTTTGTGCAGTCGTGCACTGAAGGCCTCACTGTGGCCTAATTCAGGGAGCCATGTGTGTAGTGTTGTCATCATCTTCTCCTCAGCTGGTGGCGATAACCCTTTCACCTGACCAGCTTGCTGCCTCCTCCTCTTTTGTCTCTGTGCCCGGGGTGACTGCACACAACATCCCAGCATGGAGCTGGCTTTTGTCTCTCTCCAAGCAGATGTTTTGGATGGCGCGCCTTGCCACCTGCATCAGGTCAAAGTTGCATGATTAGAGAGA